AAGGTTTTTCTAGCTTTCTAATTATAGTTTTTTTTTTGTTATTATTGCAAATGACCCTATATACTATATGTTAAATATTTTTAAAAATCCATCGATACTAAATATGCATTAGTCCTATATAATATGCAATAAAAGTGGTAGATTAATTGAATCAATGCGCTATTTCTAAGAGATGTAAATCATTTAAGTAGAATAAGGCTTTTTCTAGGATTCTAATATTTCATTGTCTTTTTTCTTCTTGTAAATGATAATTCTTACAAGACATGATCATCTATTGTGCAAGGATGACTGGTCTGTGTTTTTTTTTTTTTTTTGCTAACCGTGACCAGTCCGTGTTGGATCAGGATAAATGGTCGTTACGAGGCCAGTCTATCTTCCAATATGGGATTGTAGTGGTTGTGATGCATTCTAAGTCCTTTTATCCTCCTCTTTTAACTTAGATGTCATGCATAATTCCTTCTTTTAGTTATTTTAAGCCTCATTCTTGCATTTGTCCCATTTTACAGTCTAGGATGGTTTCTTACATTTGCTAGGTGTATTTGAAAGTTTTCAGGTTTTTTGGAGCTAGGATGAGGTATTGAAAATGCATGGGAGTAAAGCAAAAGGAATAAACTAAGAAGAAATGAAAGAAGAACTCAACCGAGAAGATGCATGGGTTTATGTTGGTGAAGGTCGTAGTATTTAAGTAAGCGAAAGACTTTGGAGACCATCGTGTATTTGGGATTGGCTTTTTAAGTTTATGGTTTTTAAAGGATATATTTATTAGCCTTTAGGGATTCTAAGATCGATATTTGTGCATGTGTATGTACAAATTTTAAGTACATTAATATGTAGCATATGTACATATTTACTATCTGCTTTTAGAACATGGTTATAATTTATAAATGTAGATGTTGTGAATTTGGTATATGTGGTAAAGAATGTAATTTTCTTAGATGTGTGATCCGCATTAAAGACTATAAGATCACCGTTTGTCTAATGCACATACACAGTTTGTCACTCATGTACACAATTAAAGATTACGGCAGCGTTTTGGCAGATATTTAATCAAAACTCCAACGTATTCTTTGGAATCCAAAAGGATACATGAAATATTTTCTCATGATGTACGCATATGAAATATTTTTAACGTACATCGATCATGAAAATGAAAATAAAAACACTTTTACTATATTGGGATCTACATCATCTACACCTATTCGACAAGTTTGAGAACCATCACCCAACTCATATGTATTTACTTGACGTTTACATCGCAAATTACTTTGTCTCCACCTCACGTAGATGTATATCATCACTGATGTTGTCTCACATATGTACGTCATATCATGATATCATCCACTTTACTCATGTACGTTGACAAAAAGTTTTCTCTCGGACGTCGTCGAGAGCCTTTGAGAGGCAAAGATATTTTCTCTCCCAAAACCCTAGTAGCCGCCGACTTCCTCCGCCGCCGATCTCCCTTTCTGGCGTGTGGTAGTTCTCACCGCCGTCGGAAAATGGACCCTTATGTGTTGCTTTTTCTTCCTCGGTAATCGGTTCTGGGAGATCTCGAAGGTTTTGTGTCTCGGGTGTAGTTTTAAATCTCTTCTGCCGTGTATAGTCTCGTCGTCATCTTCTGGGTTTGTCTGAGATCCCTTCCCAGCCTCGCTCCGCCCTGTTTGATGCTCATGGACGGTTTCTCTAGGCAGAGTTCAGTGTTGCCGAGGAGATGCGACGAGGTTCGATCCCTTGTCTCTGTTGTGCTTGAGGGTAGCGGTTCGTTGGGGTGAAAAGTCCTTGGATCTGCTTGCTGTAAGATGCCTTCTATCTGGGTCATGTTGTTTCTTCTCTTCCCTGCCTCCTTGGAGTCCAGTCGGAGAGGTCGAGGGCTCGCCATGACTATGTTGATTGCTTCATCTTGTTCAGTTGCCTCTTCGGTTCTGAAATAAGAGCTCACATCGGCGATTAATGACTAATGGATCTTCTTTTCGATGACAAAGTGCGCAGCGGCTCTCTCGATTGGCGGGTCTTCGGTGGAAAGAACATATTTCTCATGCGGTGGTGTGGAGTTGCTATCATGCTTCAAAGGTCCCGGCTAGATTGATGCAGTTGAGGCGCAAGACTGTATCTTTATCCGGGATCTCTGGTTTCGATCGGGCCTAGTTATTTGTTCCTTGTGCATCTATCGGAGCCCTTAAGTGAATTTGTAGTTGTTTGAGTTGTCTGGCAAATTAGCAGCATTTGGACTTCGAAGAAACTGTAGGAGCGGAGATGGCTTTGGTCGTTCGCCGTCTTTCCGAAGCTCGCGGCAACTTGGAATGTGCATTCTTTGCTTTTTTTCTAGGTGGTTCATCGCAATCGGCGTATAGAGAGTAGTTTGTTGTTCGTTTTGTAGTCTAGTCTATACGCATTTTTAGCCATTTGTTGCG